AAACATTTGTTAATACCTTTATTTGTGTGAGTTAAATTTTCAGTCAAGAAAATGTTATTTTCTTTATTCCATGAATGTTTGAAGACATGCCCATGTTTTTAAAAACACTTTTGTTTTAGCACCAGTCTTAGCTTGCTGGTTTAGGTAGAAATGTGTTACATAATGAAATGACAATAAGGTGTAGATTTGCTGTTTAATTTAGGTCTTACCTGTTTTTTCTCCTGCATAAATGCAGCGATTTTGCTGGAATCTATTTGCAGTCTCTTGCAAATTTTGGAATTCAGCATATGTTTTAAATATTAATGTATTTCTTTTTCCTAGGTTAATCCTCAGAAACACAGACTCCTTTTTGAAGTATTTGATGAAAACCGTTTGGTAAGATGTTTTGTGTCAATATTGCAATGTACTAAAGATTCAACGTGGATTTAAAAAACTACACCAAACAACCTTAACTTCTATAATGAAATGTAAAGCTAAAGGCATACCTTGCTCGTTTACTTATCTGACTTCACCACACTTGTGATGCTCTGAAGCAGTTGTATTATTATTCTTACCTCCTAATATGCTTTAACTTACAAAAGCAGCATTCTTCTGTAGTGCTTTTCAAGTGACACGGCCAAATTCTTCGGTGTTATTGAAAGTTCTGCATTGAATGTTTATTTTACCACAAACAAAGTAGTATTAACAATCTCTGTACATGGTTTGAGAAACTTCTTCAATGTGTGACGAGTAGGATGAAGGAAAGCACGTCTGCATTTTCTTTGGAAATCTTAGCAAGTGGACAGCAGATTGTGATCTTATAGATAGGTGTCACATTTTGACAGGTCATAAGATAGCTTGTGTATTTATTTTCCCAGTGAAATCAAAACTTCTCCTCTAATCGTGCTCTCATTTTATGGGTGAAGATGTCTACTTACCTATCTTTCTGTCTGTACTTTTTGCTGTAAATAAGAAAGACTTGTAGCAGAACAATCTATGCCTGCATCCTGAGGCCGCTTCACAGACTTTCCTTATCACTGGAATACACACCTTTTCCTTCTGCAATAGTTTTAAACTAATAGGAGGGAGTGAGTGCTCTAGTTTATACTTCACACACAGTTTCATTCTGGTAGCTGTTACAAAGGATCTTTTTATGGTGAGAGATCTCTTTATAGCTCCAATAGTGTGTGGTGGCTAAGAAAAGCTTATTTTTTCCTAATGCTTTCTGCATATATGCAGTAGTTCATTATGTCCTTTATGGAGATGCTGCTCTGCTAAAGTTGGGAAGAGTGAAAATGTATGTAAATGTAAGTACAAACTCTTCAGAATAATTAGGTGTAAGAAAGAAGAGGCTTATTTCTTTTTTTTTTTTTTAGGAGCATTACATGATCCCCAAACCGTTTTCTTCTTGACTGGTGGTATTACCTATCCCAAGAATTTCAGATATGATGTCTCTTTGATAATTTTTTTTTAAAAGCAATTTTAAAGGTAATCACCTGCATTTGTGGGTTACCTGGGATGTTAAATATGATTTTTCAGGATGCTCAAATGTTCATCTCAGCATGATGTTATTGGCTACTGTGTTTTTCTTCATGAGGTCGAAGTACTTAGTCATTGGGACATTACTGCCACCCCCTGGAAGCCAGCAGGCATGATAGGAAAGACAGATGCCTAATTTTTAGGGAGAAGGCCAGCGTTTTCTTTGTGGTTTCCACCAAGAGAATTCCTTAGCATTCTTTCTCTAATTTGGAGCAGATAAGTTGTTTGACCTGTTGGCTTATGGGAGAAGAACCAATATAACATTTTATTGGCATCAACTTGGAAATAGTGCTTTATTTCTTATGTATGCTTATATTTAGAGATCAAAGTATCACAACCTTGTCAATAACTGTTGTTCTGCAGGAGCCCAAATATTTTTTATCTTTTCTGTCACTTTGTTTGCTGAATGGAAAAGGCTGTGTCCATATTTCTTGCCCTCTTTCACTAGGATGTGCAGCTGTGATCAGAAGGTGTTATGTCTTACGTTATTTTAGTGAGCTTTGGTGTTAATCGGCCTGTATTTCTTCTACCTATTGGATGACTGTTTAAACTCGAGATGTCTGAAGTTCTCTTGTATTTGTGAGACTGTTCCCCTCTAATGAATAATTTCTTCTTTATAAAAAAATTTATCCCAAGTACTTCTATTCCCTGTAACTTCTGGGGCTAAACCGAAGCCTGAAATATTTGTTTTTTGCTTTTAAGAAATATTGATTTCTTGAAAACCAGACTCAAAACTTTCCTTCAATGTTAGGCTTAAATTCAAAGTCGTGCTGCATTGGTTCTATCACGAACAGTTGATGTTGAAAAAACTTTCTGTATTCAGAGATTTCCTGCTGTGGATTCAGGAAGGGAATGTTAAATCTAGTTTGTTCTGCTGACTTGTCGCCTACCGTTAGTAGAATAAAGGGCTTGAGCAGTTTGTGGAGTTCTCAGTTATGGTTGTCTTTAGAAACACATTAGAAAAATCTGTCAAGAAGGACAGTGAAATCACTTAGGAGATGGATCAGTGGAGGGACTAGTTGACTTTACTCTTCCTTTGTGTCTGATAATAGCTTCTCACAATCCTGTATATTTCAAATGAAGTGCTAAAAACTTACTGAAAACATCAATGTTAAGATTCAAATTGGAACTATTGTTACTTTAAAAAATATCATTTTAAATTTATTTTTATGCCAATTCTAATTCACTGAGATAAAATGTCTTTTAAAATTCAAAATTCTATGTTGGCTAAGGAAGCTGCAGTTGGCTGGCTATACTGATACTGTTATAGCTAAGGAAGAGTGACATGTTGAAGAATTTTGCTTAATTCTTAAGGCTGAGTTACTAAATCACGTCAGCCTATCCTGTTTTTTTAGAAGTTTCTTTAATAAAGTTGGAAAAACATTTCAGATAGTCTGTTGAGGGAGAAAGTGTTACTTTCTTTTACTAAAAGTGAGTATCTAACAAAGTGGTTGTGTGTCACACACATTACAAACGGTGCTGTTAATAAATTTGTTGTTGGGAAGAAAAGGATCTTTAAGAAATGCCTTTTTTTTTTTTTTTTTTACTCTTGACTTGCATATCTTAGGGTGTTGGTTTTGTTCTTAGGTGTTTTTTAAAAATTTATTAATTTAAGTTCAAATGTGAGTCCTTGAAACTGGCCAAAAGAAACTTTTATGAGTGTTTTACCCCTATCCTAGTCCCCTTCCAACATACAGCATTAGAAGTCCATTTGGTGAAGCATAATGCAATAAATGAGCTATTGTATTTGTTGGCTTTTTATGAATAAGCTAGTATTCATTTATTGCTGTATTCTAATAGTGGAATTCAGGTAACGGAGGTTAAGTAAGCCCTGGAGTATAATTAGAAAACAAATTTGTTACTTGCAAACAGAGTACTGTGAATTTGATTCTTGACCCTTTTTTTTTTTTTTTTTGGGAAGGACGTGTAAATGTTAATTTTACTGCTTTCCAGCTTAAAATACAGTAAAGGTTAAATAAATATGGAGTAGAAAAAAAATTTAGTAGTATGACCTATAAAAGTATAAATGGCCTAGTGTTCTCTTCTGTTTGCACTTTTTCAACAGCACGAAGTAATTGCATGTTGGTGTGGCAGTGTTCAGTACTGCATCATATGGCTTCTGTATTCAAAAATACATTCATAGTCAAAAGTATGGATTTTTTTAAATTAAAGTAATGCAACAACACATCAGAAAACCTCACTTAATGCAAAATTCAAGATGGTCTTTTTTCGAAAGCCCCACTAGGTGCCAGCAAAGGACCTTTTCAGACTATATGAGCCAGGGAAACATTTTGTAGGAATTACTCTTGGAAGAGTTGACAGTCTATTAACTTATTGACGTGCTGATCATTTTAAGTTAAAAATTAATTGGTAATTAGTTATGCATGTATGAGACAGTTTGCATGCGGTTATACAGAATAGCTGTAATTGTACTTGGTAATTGTATTTATTTCTGCATACTTAGCTCAGTGTTCTATAGTTTGTGTAGCTGGTTATATATTTGCATGTCATACTGAACTCTAATGAATGTATGCTTATTGTGGGTTTCCAGCAAAGGAGATGAGGTAGTTTGATTTGTAAGAATGATTTGTTTCTTGCTACCTTTAACAGCTGTAGTCCGGAAAGGTTAAAATATAAGATAAAAGGTTAACATGGTAGGCTGAAAATAAATGCCAGATTAATAACTGGAATACCTTTTTGTGGTTCTAATTCAGTTTACCTCCCTAGAAGTTAACTGATCGTCAGGAGAAGTTTGTGCAAATCCTTATAATGTGTGATTGCTTAGCAGTGTGCAGATGGCAAGATAATGCCAGATTTCCTTCAAGTTTTATTTAAATAGTGCAGGAAGAATTTTTTCCAAGGAGGAGGAGGCTTATTTTACTGGTTTATGCATAATTCAGACCTCAGCAGTTTGCTAGCATGGTTACTATTTGGAAATTCAATCCTAGACTTGATACTCAATTATATGGGACTCATTCCTACCAACTTCCTGTAATTCTAAACCTATGGGTAAAAATATTAGTAGTCATACGCTGCTGAGGAAAGTACGGACACATTGACTCAGCTAGTGCAGCTGCAGCAGGACTTACTGTTTTAAACTTGGAGGTACTGGAAGTTTATTACTATATTCATTTATGCAAATCACAGAAGTTATAATTGAAACAAGGTCAGTAGTGTTTGTCAGTGCGTTGCAGCGGAGGTCGTTGGAACGCGAGTGCTTTGTAAATGAATGCTTTCTGACTGCAAGAAATCAAAGACGGTCCAGAAACTGCAGCTCAACGAATGGCTGACTTATTTCAAGAGGTACAGTTTTGGTTTTTTTAAACACTAGTATCTTGTGGAAATTAGGACAAAGACTGCAACTTTTATGGGCTTTGACTGTCGTGATGTACTAGCTCTGGCTTCTGTGCAGCTGCCTGTAGCCCTTCTGCTGAAGGATCTGTGTGGTTTTCATTTGCTAACATGCGTGGAAATGAGAACAAATGGCACGGCGGTTAAGATTGCATTTTGCTACACAGAGAAGCAACACAGATCCGTTGTCAGAAACCTCTGAAGATGTGTTGGATAGTAACAGTTGTATGTACTTCCAAAAATCGCAGAATTGTGCGCCCAGTGTCACACGAATGAAGCTTACTCCTAGACAAATTACTTGTGCACCTGTAGTGCGACACGTAATTGATCAAGAGGAAAACGCAACTGTTCCTTCATCGCAAATAAAAAAGAGCACCTCACTGCATATTTCCTTACAGTCTAGAAAGTACGGTGAATGTTTTCAGTCTGGTGACCTTGTAGCTACTGGTGAAGATGCTTCATTCATTGCTGTTGGTAACGAAGGAAATTGTGGTGCTAGAATTGTGGTTGATCATCGATTTAATGACAGCCTTCTGAGCAGTATTGCAGCCAGTGACAGTGGATCGTTCAGCAGCGCTGGCAGTGACTATGGATCATGTGCAAGTACCACAAGCGATGGAGGTTCATATAGTAACAGTGTCATCAGCGACAGTGGCAGTGGCACTCTTTTGACAAGCGATGCTACTTTCTCTAGTAGTGTTTTACATGGCGATTCTTCATATAGAAGCACTGCAAACAACCGTAATCCCTATAGGAACAACTTGCCTCAGGAAACCCTGCATAGAAGTAGTACTACTTCTGACCCAGATGCTTTGTCAGTGAGGAAGAAAACTAAAATTCCACTGCGACGTTGTTCGTCTCTGGTTATTTTCCCTAGGAGTCCTTCCAGTACTCCTCCAGCTTCTCCGGTAAGCTTAACCCAATTACCACATAGAGGCACCTATCAAACATCCCATAAACTAATTATTTCTCCTAGCGAGCTGGCACAGAAAGAAGATCAAACCATTTCAAAGGGATTCCTTTCAACAGCAGTCAATGGACTTCGACTGTCTAAAACAGTTTGCTCGTCTGGCGAAGTCAGAGACATTCGACCACTTTACTTGAATGCATCGTTACGGGACAAAAGTCAAATTTTGAATAGGTCTGAGCAGGCAACTTGTGAAGATGTATCTGATGGCTTCTCTTGTGTTTCAGTTCATCTCACTCAAAGAGCATTTGCGTCGAGCAGTGAAGTGGTTAATGGCTGTTGCAGTCCAGAGTTAGAACGGAACTCCAGTGCAAAATACCCTCATTTAAAACTGGCACGTAGCACTTCTGCATGTTTACCCTCAAAAGAATATCAGCTTAATGCAAATGAGCTAGAAAGCCCAAATGCACCGATGAGCAAAGCCCACCATGTTTTGCAAAGAAGTGTTTCGTTGGAAGGATCACGTCAAAAAGTTTCTTGCTCTTTATCCAGCCTTAAATACAAGTGTCACAGTGCACGGACGTCTCAGTTGCACATACAGTTCAAACCTGGGAACGAGGGAAAACCAACTGGTGTTAAGAAAAGATACGGAACCTCTAAAAGGGAAATGCCTAGCACTTCTTTGTGGAGGCCCCATAAGGTGAGTGTTCTGGTTTAAAGAAAAATTTGCAGTGTTTTACAGCTGAAAGTTAACTGGAAAATAATAAAATTTATAGCTAAGACTTAAACACCATGATTTCAGAATGTCCCAATGGTGTCAAACTCACTGTTAGGAAGCTAGTTTTTATATTATCTATAACATTTGGTTTCTGGTTTTGTTTCCGAGTAGCATAGGTGAACAAGTCTTACAGTGAAATACCTGTATTTAATATATTATAAGCAGTAATTTCCTGTTTACAGGAACTCAAAAGGGATTTTTATGTCTAGTTATCTAAACTATGGAAACTATTTGAACTGTATCTGAAGTTTTGTAGGTTTAAATACGTAACGTCTCATTAAATTAATAGTAATTACTACAGTTGTGTATAAAATGGGTAAAAATGAATGGACTGCTGTAGAATCTTTTAGGTTTATTTCATATAGGCTTTGTTTTACAGAACAGTTTGCTGTATGTAGAATTAAAGATAAGTAATATTTGAGCAGAGAAACTGTAAATACTATTTGTTTCTGTATACACCCTGAACCACAGGAATTTTCAGTGTTTCCTCTTTTTTCTTTTTTTTTTTTTTTAATTCCAACCACTACTGCAGCCTGAGCAGTACACTGTAACTTAATACCCGTCCCAACAACATTGCTGTTCAAGTTATAGTACTTGGGTCTAGAAAGCTTATATTAAATATATGTTTTTGGTAATAAAACTTGTTTATAACAGAACTACATAAGTGTGTTTTGCGCTTTCTAACTCTTAAAGCAGTTTATATTGTTAGCAAGGCATAAGGCACGTGAACTATGACTTAAATAACATTCTGAAGACTTGAAAGATCTGAATATTATATATTTTAATTGTGAATGCTGATCCAAGTGCAACACTTCATGTTTACTGAAGTTGTTTTAAGATCTCATTCTCTGTGAATTGACTCTACCATTGAACAAATGTGTTTGTTTAAGCAAAATGCTTTATGCCAAAGATCTGTAATTATAACAACCCCTTTCTAAGCTAGTAATATAATTATCTTGGAGGTGTTAACCTGTAATTTTCAGGCTATTGTTGCTCTTAGAGTAATGCCTGATGATTCTATGCTTTTTTTCCTTCTTTGCAGTTTTGTATTGCTGTTTGGTTAAAAAGAGTTTGAAGGAAAATGTGCTTTCCTTCTTGTAAAACTGTGATCTGTAAAGTTTTAAAACTTCTTTTTAAAACTTATGGTGGAGCAGCAGTAATCACGATGCATGTTACTTGGTGATTCCTCATCCCAAAATCAAATGGCAAAGGTGATGGTAGCTTCCAGAATAAGCACAAGCAGATTATGACATTTTAAATTGTCTGGATCTAGTTATTTTCTGTTTCTGTTATATTGTAAAAAGGAAAACATGTTGAGTCATGCAGTTCAAGTACATTTCTTGTCAACTTGCACTGCCAGCCTCTCTGTTTAAAGGCAGTTGATGTGTTAAATACTTTGTGTTTTAATACTGAGTGAATTTTAATAAATTCAGTTTAGATAAAATCCGAGTTCGGGATTAGATTGTTGACATATATTTCCAGGAAACCTTGTAGGACACTGCACTGACAATATTTTGTTTCAGTTCCTGAGAGTGGTGTTTACAGTGGATTGACATAAATCTAAGGAGACTTAACTTTTTCAAGCACTTAATAGCATGCTTCTGTGGGAGTTGAACATACTGATCGTGTTAATGTGGCAGCGTGTTTTAAGCTTCCTGATTCTTAAGATTTCATCTTCTGACTAGAAGATGAGGCAAGTTTAAAAATAAAACAGGAAGAAAGAGCCTGAATCCCAAATTCTTGTAATTACCTTGTACTTTTCATGTATTTGCAAGTATTTAGATTTGTGCCATGTCTGCATACGAATTGAAATTATCTCTGACATTAGAAAACTAGACACTAAAGGTTTTATAGCAGCATACTTCTTTCAGTTCCTTTATGCAACAACAGGCACAGGAGCCTTTCAGTCCTGAAATGGCCTTTTCAGTCTTTATGTAAAATCAGGTTTTATAGAATAGCCTATAAAAAACACATTGTCAAAAAATTTCAAGTACTCTCCCACCAAACCAAACAAAACCCACAACTGACTATAGCAGTCCAGTAATTCTGTGAAACAAAATAGATAAATACTGTTGTATTTGCTATTACAGTCATTGTGTCAAATGTAATAGATTCTATGACAATCATTTAATTAAATAGTCCAGTTAATTATCATGGTGTATTGTGACACATTTAAAAATAAACAACTCCCAAAATATTTCTCTTGACTCCAGTTAGTCTGGCCTAGTATATTGATATGGTGAGTCTGGGTTCAAATTTAACGAGTTGATACTGGAGTAGCATTTAGTAATGTCAGCTATCTGTACCGAGCAGTCATGAAATCAAATCAGTGCTTTGGTCAGAGACTCCAGAGTCTGAAGCAGCAAAAGGTCTATGCATTCTTTTTTTGCATGCCTAGCTACTAGCCTTCAGCCACCTCGTATCAGATTTCCTGCGTTCTATAATCAACAGCTTGTTAAAGGCTGACTTTTAAGGAAAAAAAAATCAAAACACAATTTCTGTGACAATTGGGCTTGGATTATTTTTTATTAACTTGAAAAATGTGCAGTGGTGATGGCCCACATAATGCTGCTGATCTTTGCTACAAACATAATGAATAGATTCTGCAGTAGGTGGTGGAATTTCGTTTATGTGAAGCAGGAGGAAGAGGTAATCTATAGTTGCAGTATTGAAGGTTGTTCTTGACTTGGTATTTCTGTTTTTAGTGCTTTTTCAGTGCATCTATCTTGTGCTTAGGGTAGAAATAAATCTGCAACTAACGCACTTTGACATCACAGGTGTGAATTGGGAGGGGTAGGAGTAAGGGAACAGTTTACACGCTCTTCTACGAGTATAGTATTATATTGACTTCCCTGTTGACATTAGCTATGCCTTTCCCATCAGTATCACTGCTGGTTAGATACTATGAATATTGTAATGTACTGGCAAATCTGTTTCACCTTTAAAATAACTTCTTATACAATTATATAATTGTCTGTATAATTGTATGTTCTTATACAATTCTTCTACATTGTGTTACTGCCCTTTTTGTTTAGAAGTAGTTGTACTCATCTTCTGTAGTGAATGAAATACATGTTTTAAAGCAAAAAAATTAAGAGGGTACTGTAAAATAACCAAAATATTTTTCCACAGTTAGGTTTGTGTGAAGAAAACCATTAATTGGAACTCTCAAGCTTTTTTCACTGGGTTCTAGAACTCTGCCTTTTGTATTTGTAAAAGGAGATCGTATCTGAATCTTTTAAGTACTAAATTTAGATTTTGGACAAACAGTAATTTGAGGGGTTTGTGTGTGAGGATGTCTCTCTTCACTAACTTCCCAGCTAATCTGAATGTACTGAGGGGACCAGAACCTGTGCCTGGAAGATCTTGATTCTCTTGATAAATGCTGTACCACAAGTTGGCACTAAATAGGCTGAGGATGTCTTCTCTCTGGCATTCGCTTAAAGTACAGAGCTTACGTTTTACCACATCTCCTTCACAGAAGATAATAGTCCAAGCAGGGAGAAGTGCTGAGAGAAGGGGAAGACCACCGTGGCTTATCTGCAGCCATCTCCATCTTTTCATACATTAAGCAAAGGGGCTGCACAGGTAGTGGTGTCCCAAATCTGTGCAAAGAAGTGATGTGGAAAAGGGACAGGTGAAGAGAAAGATGATCAAGGCAATGCAAGGCAAAGCACAAATTGAAATCTCTTTATGCTATTGTGCTATGATTACCTCATCACCTAATAATTTTCATATTGTTCAGTATTGCATATCTTGAAGGATCATGTTACAGGACTGCCTGGGGCACATTGCTGTGTCATGGTGTGTGTCAGTTCAGTCACGGGGAATTGGGTGTGTTTCTGAGGAATCATTATGACAACTGTTAGACTTAAATCACATAGTACTATTTATGTTGTCTCTCGGACAAATTTTAGACCTTGAAGTATGCATCAAAGCATTAAAGACAGTTGCTACTATCTGTTAATAACAATAATCAACAATTTATAATCAGTTGTAGGTGATCTCCTACTTTCATCCTTTACATAATGGTGACCTGTAGTGCTTTCATAGCTTGTACTGATTTCTTTTATCTTCCATATTGCTTAAATACAGTTTTGTTACAGCTGCTTCTCCACCTTTCTTCATGCCTTTAGGTTTTGATTAGTAATCTTCTGTAGGGGGAAAAAAGGTTGCACCTTACAGTCGCGACTGCACACAGCCAAGTGAATGGTTGCTACATGGAAGCATTAGCAAAGGAAGCAATCAGTTAATATTATTTGGTATCAACTCCATCCCTAAATTTTTTGTCAGTTTTAACAAGTTGTATTTGGCAACAGTGAAACGTGTAACTTTCGGCATATGATCATGCTGTAAGGAAGTGTCAGGCTGTAGCAGAATACCTGAACATATGTCAGAGCTCTAGCACTTCGTTGTCACCAACAGTCACTACACATATATATTAAGAAGGAGCTTTTTTTGATTGTGCTCTGCACAAATATGATTAACCTCATTCTGTTTACAGTCTGCAGCTGAACTGAGTTTGGGTAGGTTTCTGATGTCAAAAAAAGGGGCAACTAAGGCTGCAAAACCATGCAGAAGAGAGCTCCAGAAACAGCTTATATAAGCATTTAATTATTCAGCATTCAGGTTGATTCATGTCTTTTTAATCTACCATAAGAGAATGGGAAGCCTTGAAGGTGTGACTTCTTGAATATAGCCAAAAGCTATAGTTACTCTGTCTCCTAAGGCTTAGTATATATTTAAGAATGTGTTAAAGTAAAATTTGTTCTCCAGGTAAGACAGAGACAGTCTTCTCTTTACTCCTGACTACCCAATTAACTTTCAGGCGTTCAGATATGAGACCATGATTGTTGGGGTTTTTTTGTTGTTATATGATCCATCCTTTTGTACTTTCTGTGGTAATAGATCAACACTTGGGG